GTATTTATATTTGTGTATAAGCTGTTCAGATTGTAAAAAAAAGCCTGTGTTTTTAGGGTTATTAACAGAGTTTGTGTACTCAGACCAGTAATATTTGGGGTCACAAGTTTTTGCCACGAATATTTTGTGGGTCAGAAGATAAAAAGTTTGGGAACCTCTGTGTTAGAGCACGGTGCATTCAGGTTCCTCAGAAGTTTTAAATCAGTGTGTGGTGCGTTCAGTTTCCTTATGTTTTTTATTTWTTTATTTTTTCCAAGAACATGATGCGTTCAGGTTCTGTAAAAGTTTTTAATAGAACATGCTACGTTCAGGTTCAGYTTCCTCGGACGTTTTATTTAGAACATGATGCATTTAGGTTTCTTGTAGCCTTTAGGACTTTATTGAACTGTGATGCATTCAGGTGAGCAGGAGAAAACAGATAGTCCAGCATCTCTTGGGTTTGCTCAATCCCAGTTTTTGGAGGTTCTGTTGGGTCAGGTTAGAAATTCCTCTGTTCCTCATTTTGTTTGTATATAATTAGTTTTTAACCTGGTTTTTAAGCTTTATGAACATGTTGTGTATTAATATTTATGACAGGGATATATGAGGTCATATTGCTAAAATAACAACTAGAACTTCAGTTTTAATTTAAGTTTAAAGGRTTTCATCTTTGGCTTATTAATAATCTGGTGATCTTTGGTCATTTTCCCTCCGGAACAGATGAAACAGGGAGTTTTTTTATTGTTGGTTTTTGATATTTAAAACTAAAAGCTGGACTTTATTGTGTGTTTGAGTCTCCTTGCTTTGTGCTTAAGGTTCTTCAGATGAGCAGCAGCTTTGGTCAGGTTTTGTTGGTCCTTTGACTCCCTYTGATGTGGTCTTCTTCTGCCCCTCAGATGACCTGGTCACATCCAAATCCAGCATGTTCTTCTTGATCTCCAACGAGGGGAACCAGAACCTCCACGTGACCCAGGCCACCCTCTGGCTGTACTTCAGGCTGCAGCTTCCTGCCGTGGAGGTGCGTGGGAAAAGGAAGGTGACGGTGAAGGTGTACTACCAGGAGCCGGGCCTCGGCAGCAGGTGGAACCTGGTGGAGAAGCGGGTGGAGCTGAGGCGCAGYGGCTGGCACACCTTTCTGCTCACCAACGCCGTCCGCCTGGCGTTCGCCAAAGGAGCCGACCGGCGSCAGAACCTGGACATACGCTGTGAGGGCTGCGAGGCCGAGGGCGTGGTGCCGGTCCTGCTGAACCTGAACGATGAGTCCCACCGGCCCTTTCTGGTGGTGCGGGCGCGGCAGGCGGACGGCAAGCACCGCATCAGGAAGAGAGGACTGGAGTGCGACGGSAGCAGCAGCCTGTGCTGCCGGCAGCAGTTCTACATTGACTTCCGGCTCATCGGCTGGAACGACTGGATCATCGCGCCCTCGGGCTACTTTGGGAACTACTGCGAGGGGAACTGTCCCGCCTACATGGCCGGCGTGCCCGGCTCTGCRTCGTCTTTTCACACAGCGGTGGTGAATCAGTACCGCATGAGGGGGATGAGCCCCGGATCCATGAACTCCTGCTGCATCCCCACCAAGCTCAGCACCATGTCCATGCTGTACTTCGACGACGAGTACAACATCGTGAAGCGGGACGTGCCCAACATGATCGTGGACGAGTGCGGCTGCGCCTGACACTTTACTTCTTTCATGACAGAAAAACAGATTATTTATGGAGACACATCCACAAACTCATGTACACCTGCACACGTTTTCTTATATATGTTTGTTGATGCTCACACAGGAGGTCTCTTCTAGGCCCCGCCCACCTGGGAAACAATCAACAGATCCTCATTAGATCTGGAAGACTTTGGTAATCCTGTAGTCTTTACTGAGCACGATAATCTGCCATGTTGTTAGAGTGAAACTGAGACAGAGAGGGGGATTGATCCGGGTCAGATCGGATCCACGAACTGTGGTGTCAACTCTGATAGCAGAACCTACAAACAGCACTTCTGGTCTTTAATCCCAAGTTAAGAACAAATAAAAAACGAAAATCTCTGCAGAAAGTTCACAGAACCAGAGAAACTCTCCAAAGAAAAGACAAAACATTAAACAGAAAATTCATTTAAAAAATGAGTCGATCGTGAAACAACATTTGTTAAATGTGGAAAATCTACCTATCAGCTGGTAATTCATGAACTGTGCAGTTCTCAACAAGACCCAAACTAGACCCAATGTAGACTTAATCTAGTCCCAAACTAAACCCGAATTGAACCCAAGTTAGACCCAATCCAGACCTGATCTAGTCCCAAGCTAGATCCAAATTGGACCCAAATACAAAACCCAAAAAAGACAACAAATTAAATCCAATCTAGACCTGATCTAGTCTGAAACTAGATCTAAATTAGACCCAAAAAAGACATAAACTAGACCCGAACTAAACCTGAACTGAACCCAAATTGAACCAAGTTAAACCCATACATTGGACCCAATCTAGACTTAGTCTAGTTCCAAACTAGACCTTAATTAGATCTAAAAAAGACCCAAAATATCCCAAAGTGAAACAAGTCAAACCCAAACTAGATCCAAATCAGACACAAGTTGAACTCAAATAGAACCAAAATGAAATATTAACAGTAAAAATTAACATTCTTTAATTTTTATTTCTCACCATTTTCTGACCTGACCTGCTGGTGAAGTCATGTAAGAATCGTCTATACTGAGACCTGATGGTGGGGACTATTTCCTGGAACATATGGGTGATGTGTGTTTACTGATGAGTGGTCTTTGTCTGTTGGAGCAGATTTCATATTTATTTGTAGTTTTTTGGTTTTTCTGAGTCAATATTGGAACACGGTGGTCTTGGTGCTCCTTTAAAATTAACATTAGACTTTAACATTACATCACTGAGCAAAGATATCTGAACATGATGTTTACTGGTTTACATCTTTGAATATTTGCATCGTAAACACAAATATAAACAAATATAAACAATTATCACAGGAATCAAACCAGCAAATCCTTCAAATACCCAGTCCGAACCATCRGTATTCATATCACTGATGTTCTTCAGTAAATGGTTCTGACCATCGTGTCCCTGTCCTGATGGTCTTCGCTTCCAGCTGTGCATAAAATTAAAGTTAATGAAATAAAACTAGCATGTTAATATTTCCTGTTCTTCAGCTGAGATGAAGGGGTCTAAAGGTGACCTTTGATATTTGGGTCTAGTTGAAACGTATGTAAACTATGAGACTCATATTTGTCTATTGGATAAATCAGTTTAGTTCAAGTTTATGACATAACTAAAAGTACTAAATTTATAAAATATTTTAGAAAATAAAAAAAATATTTTAAAAGTTTTCATAGTTAAACTATGAATTTTATTCAGATTTTATTTCCTTTTTGTCTTTAGAATTAAGCCTGAAATGTAAAGAATGAGCAGCCTTCTGTTCTGTATTTTATTTAAACTGATTGAAAAWTTTTCAGTCAGTCTAAACACAAACAAACAATCAAAGTTTATGCATCAAACAAAACATATAAAGTGAGAAACATAWGTAGTTTTATGTTTCTGTGATGGGCACTTAAAGACTTTTCAGGTCAAACCTTTTGTCTTTTTTCAGATTTTTCCTCCACAGGAAGCTTTGATAATCGTATTAATCGTACACAAGTGAAAAGCTATTGCGCACCACACACACACACACACACACACACACACACACACACACACACACACACACAC